ACGGCAAACGCAGCAGTAGACTCAAAGTCAGGGTCAGTGACGACAGTAGCGAGGAGACGAGTGACAGTAGGACTGGCAGGATGAGCAAGGTCGGACTCAGGGTCAGGAACGTCAGGAAGAGAGGACGCAAGAGGAGACGGAAGGGCAACACGCTGTGGAACAGAGGATGGACGAAGTTCCATAACGTGAGTGCCTGGGACAGTAGGAGGACGAGGACGTGGGACACGACGAGCACGAACAGGTGTGGAAGCACGAGTCTCACGCTCACAACGCGCAGTCAGGGACGCAGTCACCTCAGCGTGAGGAGCAGGAGCAGGTAGTAGCCGTGGCAGAGACTGGTCTGTCGGTGGACACAAAAGAGGTGGAGTGAGGCCAGTGGAAGACGGGAGACTATGAACCTGGCGAAGGGTCCGAGTCAGGCGGTGGCAGGGACGACTGCGGCTGCGGGTAGAAAATCGGTCGGCGCGGCACAGTACCCGTACCGTCAGCCGCTTTAGCAGCTCCAACTCCAGCACGTCCAGCACCTCCAGCTCCAGCACCTCCAGCTCCAGCACCTCCAGCACCAGCAGCTCCAGTAGCACCTCCAGCACCAGCAGCACCAGCACCTCCAGCTCCAGCACCTCCAGCACCAGCAGCTCCAGCACCTCCAGTACCTCCAGCACCAGTAGCTCCAGCACCTCCAGTACCTCCAGCACCTCCAGAAGCTCTAGCACCCCCAGAACCAGCAGCACCTCCAGCTCCAGCACCTCCAGCAACAGCAGCTCCGGCACCTCCAGCACCAGCACCTCCAGCACCTCCAGCACCAGCAGCACCTCCAGCACCAGCAGCACCAGCACCTCCAGCTCCAGCACCTCCAGCACCAGCATCTCCAGCACCAGCACCTCCAGCACCTCCAGCACCAGCACCTCCAGCACCTCGAGTACCTCCAGTACCTCCAGCACTAGTAGCTCTAGTACCTCCAGCACCTCCATCACCTCCAGTACCTCCAGCACCAGCACCTCCAGCACCTCCAGTACCTCCAGCACCTCCTGAAGCTCTAGCACCCCCAGAACAAGCTGCACCTCCAGCTCCAGCACCTCCAGCACGAGCAGCTCTAGCACCCCCAGAACCAGCACCCCCAGACTCAACACCCCCAGAACCAGCACCCCCATAACTGGCACCCCCAGACTCAGCACCCCCAGAACCACCAAAGCCCACAGCGACAAGCTGCGGAGGCGGCGAAGACGGCCGAGGCGGAAAACCAGGAGGGGTCTCCAAGCGCGGGGAGCGGCGAGTCGTCGCCGTGTCGTCAGCCGCGGGGTCACCCCCCTCAGCTGGGCCAGAGGAGTCAGAGGAGACCTCCAAAGGCTCAACCAAGGGGGGTGGGTCGACCTGAGACACACCTGAGGGAGCAGGAACCTGCGGGGGGAGGGGGTCTACCAGGGGGGGACCTGGTACCAGGAAGAGGGGCGGCGGGGAGAGCGGGGAAGACGTGTGCGGGTGGAGACGGTAGAAGCAGACCGACTCGTGAAAAGTGACGTCGTGTGAGGACAGGACCCGGCGCGAGACAGGGTGGTAAAACTGCCAGGGCGGGGCGTCGGTGGGGAAGCCAAGGAAGACGCAACGGAGAGTGCGAGGGGAGAGCTTGCTCGCGGTGGTATCGCGAACAAGGGAGAGCGCGCCCCAGACCCGAAACCCCGACACATCGCCAACCTCCCCCGTCCAACGCAGTGTAGGCGAGGTCTCTGGCACAGAGACACGGGGCCAGAGGTTGAGCTGATGCGCGGCGTATCGGACCGCAAACGACCACAGAAAATGGGGAGCAGCCGCATGGATCATAGAGGTGCGAGCAACGTCCATGACTAAGCCAATGCGGCGCTCAGCAATCCCATTCTGCTGTGGAGAGGCCGGAAGCGTGAATGTCTGGCGGATGCCGTCCGCACGACAAAAGTCCCGAAGGAGGACGGAGGAAAACTCACCGCCTCTGTCAGAGTGCAGCCGCAGGACATGGAGGTCCTGCTCAAACGGAGCGCTCAGCTGGCGACGTACAGCGATGATCTAGTCGATCAAAACACCTCGGACATCCGCCTTGCTCCGCAAGGGGAAGACCGTGGTGTATCGCGTGTAGTCGTCAACAATCAGCAGAAAGTAACACTCCTGGTCCTGTCCACGGACGCGGGCTGGGCCCCACACGTCCATGTGGAGAGTCTGCAGAGGAGCAGTGGTCGGCGGAAACGAGGAGGAGTGAGGAGCGGCGCGCTGCCGCCCCTCGACATAGGGAAGGCACGGCAGTGGAAGCGAGCGCGGGAGCGAGGGCAGGGACCTGGGGAGGCAAGAGACAAGGAGACGAGAGTGCATGCCACGCAAGCGTGGCAGGGAGGGGTGACCAAGACGGTGGTGCCAGAGGAGAGTCTGGTACGAGAGTAGCAGGCACGAACAACGCAGCAAACTGACCCGACGCAACTACCTGACCCAACGCAGCTACCTGTGCGGACTCAGTGGTCAGTGTGTACAGGCCAGACCCAGGGCTCCGAGTGAATGTGGCGAGGTGCTCGCCAGTGCGTGAGTCCGTACAGATCGCCACAAGCTCACCCCCAGGAGTAGTCACAGTGACAAACTGGTCCTGGAGGACAGCGTTACTCACCAAGTTCTTAGAGAACGAGGGGAGGTGGAAACCTGTGAGGGAGTCTGAGGGGGATGCCGGACAAGGGAGAACGGTGGAGGCACGTGCTACGACTGGGCCCCCAGAGGGGTCAGCGAGACTGACCGGGAGAGGTGCAGTGAGCGGTGTGACTATGGTGCGGTCGCGGAAGAAGCAGCGAGTCGCGTCTGAGTCAAGCGTGAAGGTGTGTAAAGCCTCCACATGTGCTGTAACAGTGCTACCAAGCTCACAGGCACCTAGACTAGAAACCTCTACACCACCAGGGACGCGTCGCTGAGAAAAACACTCCCTGAGCTGCTGCGGCGAGGGGGTCTCCGGCTGAATCTGCTGCTGCTGCTGTAGAGGCTGGGTGGTAGGAGAGAGGGAGGAGTAGTGTCTAACAACAGCGTCGAACAAAGCCTGGGCCGACGTCACCTGTCGAAAGTGGTCCCTCTGGTCGACCGGCAGGAAAGATCGGACGGCACGTTGGGCAACAGCGTCGCGCTCTGTCCACTGTCTGTAGGCAAGGCTGTCCGCCCGGTACCACCTCTGCACGTCCTCGTCAGCGTCAGCAGCAGGCTCAGTGGGAGTCGTGGGGGCTGGAAGTGACCCCGACGTGTGCCCGAGTAGGGAGACGCTATCTCTGATGTAACACCGGAGATGCAAGCGCAGGCACATAAGCCAGAAGTCGAACCGGTACGGGAGTCCGTCGACGTCAAACGCTAAGACCGGTGGAGTTGCCATGACGGGCAGTGTAGTGGCGAGGGCAGAGCGTGGGCAACTAGAGCAGCGTGTTGGCAGCTAAGGCAGCGCGCAGGCAGGGCGGCTCGCGGTCTGCAGGGCAGGGCCGCGAGCGGGGTGCAGGGCCGGGCAGTGCGCAAGCTACAGGGCAGGGCGACGCGCGGGCTGCAGGGCAGGGCGGCGCGCGGGCTGCAGGGCAGGGCGGCGCGCGGGCTGCCGGGCAGGGCGGCGCGCAAGCTGCAGGGCAGGGCGGCGCGCGGGCTGCAGGGCAGGGCGGCGCGCGGGCTGCAGGGCAGGGCGGCGCGCGGGCTGCCGGGCAGGGCGGCGCGCAAGCTGCAGGGCAGGGCGGCGCGCAAGCTGCAGGGCAGGGCGGCGCGCTAGCTGCAGGGCAGGGCGTCGCTCGGGCTGCAGGGCAGGGCGGCGCACAAGCTGCAGGGCAGGGCGACGCGCGGGCTGCAGGGCAGGGCGGCGCGCTAGCTGCAGGGCAGGGCGACGCGCAGGCTGGAGGGCAGGGCGGCGTGCGAGCTGCAGGGCAGAGCTGCGCGCGGGCTGCAGGGCAGGGCAGGGCAGAGCGCTAGCAGGGCAGCGTGCGGGTCGCGCGCTAGGCAGCAAGAGGGCAGCGCGACGGGCAGGGCAGAGCACGTGGGGCCGCGCAGGCAGGGCAGCGTGAGGAATGCTGTTCGGGCAGGGCAGTACGGGCAGTTTGGGCAGTTCGGGCAGGTCGAAAATAGTGGTGGGCCCTAACGGAGCGGTCCTACGGAGGATGGACCCGCTCTGAATACCATGTCAGAATAGGAACGTACGAATGATGGACTAGGTAGGAAGCATGAGTACAAGTACTGCCTAACACTAAAGTGTTGTACCCTTTAGGGTATGCCCCACTACAGCCTACAGAAAACAAATACAATTTGACACACACATGGTGCGCTGGCAGGGGATATTCGACCCCCCTTCTAGAGGGTTCGGATGAGATGCTCCTGCGTGGCGTAGCATGACGCTGTGATTGGGCCGCACGGCAGGTTTCGCATTAGCGCTGGCAGGTGCGTTGCTCCGGGACGGGTTTTGTGCGGTGGGAAATCGAAGCGCGCCTGGTTTTGCCGGGATTCCATGCACGAATCCACGTCAAACTTTCACGGTTGTGTTCGCCTCATTGAGGGCTTCAATTTGGTATCCAAAATAAATAAATTTCTTTTTTAACATTATACAGGCGCATGCGCTTATGCACTAGACTCAATTACAAGCGCCCCCAAAAAAACATACGAAATATGCGCTACTATCCGAGGCCATACGGTATGTTGCTGTTAAGGTAGTAGATACCGTATATATCCTAGATAACCAAATAAGCATTGCAATGGCTAAGGAAAATACAAACAAACTGGTATGACTTTTGTTCATCAAAGTTTGGTGGTGAGCTATATATTGAGCTACCTATGTATGTAGTGATGGGTAATCCAAACGGTTAGCCTCAAAAGTGTTACCGGTAAGTATCGCAAGACTTGAGATAACGATATGCCTGCAAGAAGCACACGACAACACATCACTTCATCTTGCTTTATGATCTCACATTTGACAAGGAATTTCATGGATCAAATTCCATGGATAATATTCAAATTCAACGTATGGTGCATGCGTACCCTTACTACGCCTTGGTGTTGGCAGATGACCGGCGCGGAAGATTCCAGGTGCTGACTGCCTTATCCATTCCCTCTGCTGCCACCAACCGGACTGCGTCAACTGCCCTCTCTATAGCCACATCCACCTGTGTCACGGGTCACAGACCGCAGATGGGTTTGCATAAGAGGAGACTGCCTTTTATCATGGAATAGGCAAATTAGGCTCACCGTCACTTACTCCTTGTTCTTAGAACCATCGCAGTTCAAGCACCTTGTGACGAGGTGCTTGGTGTGAGAACAGCTGCAGCACATACCCCTTGCCATCTGCCTATTAAGTAGTCTGATAACCAAAGAGAAACGTCTCAAAACTCGAAACACATACCACCTGCTCCTCTCACCTCGTCTCTCTCCCTGTCTGAGAACGTATGCAGCACATACACCTTGGCCTCTGTCTCTTGAGGCGTCTAAAAAAGCGAAGCACATACCACCTGCTCCTCTCACCTCGTCTCTCTCCCTGTCTGAGAACTTTTGCAGCACATACACCTTGGCCTCCATGCACCCTGGTGGCCTCCCAATGCCTGCATGTAAACCACATGGAGGGGATGAGCCGGTTAACAAGTCAACTCAGAGATATCTCCCTGTCTGTGAACCCGTTGCACGTACACTCTGGCATCCATGCGCCCAGGGGACTTGCCAATGCCTGCATTCTCGCACAAAATGTCGCTCAACTAGGTCACATGGCATAAGCAGGTGACATGGCAACAGCAGGTCAGATGGCAACAGCAGGTCAGATGGCAACAGCAGGTCAGCATATCACACACACAAGCAGGCAACATGAGTTGCTGTGGCACTGCCAACCTGGAGAGCACCAATCCCGAACCTTGCTCACCGACTGAACCTTATTTGCCAATTACTGTTGATTTTGCCACAGACCGAGCCTAGTTCTGCCACTAACCGACGAACCTACCTGCCACCGACCGAGCCTAATCATGCCACTGACCAAACCTAATCCTGCCACTGACCGAGCCTAATCCTGCCACTGACCGAGCCTAATCCTGCCACTGACCGAGCCTAATCCTGCCACTGACCGAACCTAATCCTGCCACTGACCGAATCTTAGGCGGGGAAAGTTTCTCGAGCCCTGAAAGTGTTGCATGATGCTCTTCATGCTGGCAGGGAGAAAGAATGGGGTATGGGGGATGGATGGGGCATGGGGGGATTAATAGGTGCAGGCGAGGCAAATGGCTAAGGTTTTAAGGCCATGATGGCCCTGATGCTGCAGGGGGGATCAGGGAATGGGGGAAGGAGTGGGATAATGGAACGACAAATGGTAGATTTCACTGAAACAGGAAACGCAGCAACTGAGAGGTGGTATGTGAGAGGCAGCAAGGGAGAGGCAGCAAGGGAGAGGCAGCAAGGGAGAGGCAGCAAGGGAGAGGCAGCAAGTGAGAGGCAGCAAGGGAGAGGCAGCAAGTGAGAGGCAGCAAGGGAGAGGCAGCAAGGGAGAGGCAGCAAGGGAGTGGGAGCATGTGAGAGGCAGTAAGGTACAAGCAAAAGACGGGTTCCTAAACTCATTCTCCTGCAACTCACCCGTTGTGTCCCCCATGCCCCCCTTTGGCAAGGAGCTTCATGGAAGCTACGTCGAGGTCCATGTCATCGTATATCTGAGACGAAGAGCGGGATGGCAGCAATAATGTAATGCATGGAGGGGTGAGACATTTGTATCTGAGGAGCGGGAGGGTTTTGGTTTTTGCCTTCATGGTTTAGGATCTAAGATGGTCGCAGCTGCCATCCGGCCCACTCCTCAGAAGGGTTTAGGGTCGTCATTGTATATCTGAGGGGTGGGATGGCAGCAGTGAGAGGGTTTTGGCCCTTGCATTCATGGTTTAGGGTTTAGGATTAAAGACGGCTGCAGCTTGCTGTAGGGCAACGATCGATCATATGGCATGGCATGGCATGGCATGGCATGGCATGGCATGGCATGGCATGGCAGGCCATGGCTAACAGTGCAGCATTGCACGGCATGCCATGATTTACAGCATGGCATGGCATGTCATGGCATGTGGCATGGCATGGCATGTCACAGCATTGCATGGCACAGCATGGCATGGTATGACATGGCACATGGACTTACAGCACAGCACAGTATGGCATTGCATAGCATGGCATGGCATAGCCTGGCATGGCATGGCAGGGCATGGCATGGCAGGGCATGGCATGGCAGGGCATGGCATGGCATGACTTACAGCCACGACTCGCTCGGGTGGAATCTTGTAGAAGCGAGCCAAGGGTCCCACCTGCAATGGGATGTGGTGGTATGGGGTGTGGTGGCATGGAGGTGGTATGGTTTGTGATATGGCTTCTGGCGCATCATGGGGAACAGTATTACCATGATGGTTGTTGGGGCAAGGCACGATGAGGCATGGCATGATGGGGCATGGCATGACGGGGCATGGTACGATGTAGCCAGAAATGCCTTCCCTCACTCTACCCCACCATGCCCACGCACACTCTCCCCGCTCAGGTTCATGAGCGACTGTGGCTTCACCAGCAACTGTGGCTTCACCAGCAATTGTGGCTTCACCAGCAACTGTGGCTTCACCAGCAACTGTGGCTTCACCAGCAGCACTCTGATTCTCTCTTACCATCATCTCCTCCCCTCACCCCCCCTTCCCCTTTAGTCCCTTCCCTTGCCACCATGCTCCCCGCATCATAGCCACACACTCTATCCCCGCTGAGGTTCAAGAACGTCTGCGGCTTCACCAGCAACACTTCTGGATTTGATCAGGACTCTCCCCTTCCCCTTCCCCCCTCCTCTCCCCATTATCACTCACGCTCTCCCTGCTGAGGTTCATGAACGTCTGCAGCTTCACCAGCAGCACTTGAAGACTGAGCTTCCAACATTCCCCCTCCCCTACTACCCGCTTTCCCCTTTTCCACTCACGCTCTCCCCACTGAGGTTCATGAACGTCTGTGGCTTCACCAGCAGCACGGGGCACCCGGCAATGCGCCCCTTGCCCACCACTGCCTTGCTCTGCATGGCGCTCAGGCTTATGCCCTCCGCCCTGGCGATGGCATCCACCACCTCGAAGCCCACCTGGTGGGGAGGGAAGCAGGAGAGGAGGTGGTAACAAGAGAGAACAGCAGGGGGATATGAAATGCGCCCCTTGCCCATCACTGTCCTTGCAATGCTCTGCATGGCACTCAGAGCTATGCCTTCCGTCCTGGCGATTGCATCCACCACCTCGAAGCCCACCTGGTGGGACGGAGAGGAGGGAGAAACGGGAGGAAGAGGACAGCACAGGGATATGCAATGCGCCCCTTGCCCACCACTGCCTTGCTCTGCATGGTGCTGAGGCTTATGCCCTCCGCCCTGGCGATTGCATCCACCACCTCGAAGCCCACCTGGTGGGACGGAGAGGAGGGAGAAACGGGAGGAAGAGGACAGCACAGGGATATGCAATGCGCCCCTTGCCCACCACTGCCTTGCTCTGCATGGTGCTGAGGCTTATGCCCTCCGCCCTGGCGATTGCATCCACCACCTCGAAGCCCACCTGGTGGGACGGAGAGGAGGGAGAAACGGGAGGAAGAGGACAGCACAGGGATATGCAATGCGCCCCTTGCCCACCACTGCCTTGCTCTGCATGGTGCTGAGGCTTATGCCCTCCGCCCTGGCGATTGCATCCACCACCTCGAAGCCCACCTGGTGGGACGGAGAGGAGGGAGAAACGGGAGGAAGAGGACAGCACAGGGATATGCAATGCGCCCCTTGCCCACCACTGCCTTGCTCTGCATGGTGCTGAGGCTTATGCCCTCCGCCCTGGCGATTGCATCCACCACCTCGAAGCCCACCTGGTGGGACGGAGAGGAGGGAGAAACGGGAGGAAGAGGACAGCACAGGGATATGCAATGCGCCCCTTGCCCACCACTGCCTTGCTCTGCATGGTGCTGAGGCTTATGCCCTCCGCCCTAGCTATTGCATCCACCACCTCGAAGCCCACCTGGTGGGGAAGGGAGAGGGGAAGGGGTGGCGCGAGGGGAGGGGGAGGGGGAGAAGAGGGAAGAGGCTGGAGGGATGCAATGCGCCCCTTGCCCACCACCGCCCTGCTCTGCATGGCGCTCAGCGATATGCCCTCCGCCCTGCTCTGCATGGCGCTCAGCGATATGCCCTCCGCCCTGCTCTGCATGGCGCTCAGCGATATGCCCTCCGCCCTGCTCTGCATGGCGCTCAGCGATATGCCCTCCGCCCGGGCTATGGCATCCACCACCTCGAAGCCCACCTGACGCAGGGTTTAGGGTGGGGGGAGATGGGGGAGTGGGGAGGAAGAGGAGAGGGATATGCAAAGCGCTCCTTGTTATCACCAAATCCTCTATGGTGGGGAGCAGGAGGACGGGGGGAGGAAGGGGAGGAAGGGGAGGAAGGGGAGAGGGATATGCAAAGCGCCCCTTGCCCACCACCGCCCTGCTCTGCATGGCGCTCAGCGAAACGCCTTTGGCACGGGCTCTGGCGTGTGTATCACCTCGAAGCCCACCTTGTGGGGAGCAGGAGAGGGAGGGGGCACTGGGAGAGAGAAGAGGCGCGCAAGTGGGTTGTTCACAGCAACCACACATCCAAAACCCCGAACCACGAACTCCTAACCTTTCGTTTTCTCCCTAGCTCCCTTTCCCTTCCCCTACCCCTCGTCTTTCAACATTCAAAAACGTTTTTTGAGGCGTCTTAAGAAAGAACCCAGGCCTTCGAATTCTCAGAACAAAACCTGAGGCGCCCCTCCTCACTCCCCCCCCTCCCCCCACCCCCACCGCCCCCCCGCTTTCCCCCTTCCCTCTTTCCCATTCCCCACGCCGTCTCACCCCCTTCCTTTCCGACCCCATTCGCCCAGAAACGCACATTGTGCCGCGTGCCCTCGTATTTCATCCCCGGATTCCCCAGCCCCACCAGCATCCACGGCCCGCCCCCCCCAGCATCCCCGCCCTTGCTCCGCCCGCCCTGCACCCCCGCGGAATCCCCCACCGATTCCCCCGCCGCGCTGGTCGTGACGGCTCTCCGCTTGTTGATGCGGAAGGGCCCCGCGCCGTCTGACGTGGATCGTTTCATGAATGACGTGGCATAGTATTGGGTAAGCCCGGCGCTGGCGGATAATGCGTTAGCGTGGGGGGAGCGGCGGAGATCAGAGAGGTACGGCGCTGGGCTGTGCGCTGTGATGGCGGAGGGGAAAGGGGCGCGCGGAAGGGACTCGCGGAAAGGCCACGCGTGCATTCCTAGTCCTAAAGACGTTTCTGAAAGAGAAACCCGCGTTCGCACTCTCGCCAAAATGGCGCGCGGAGCCGCCTTGAGAGGTGCGGCTGCGCTTGGCGCGCAGCAGACTCGAAGCGCACTCATGAAGTGGGCGTTGTTGACTCGATGAAAGCACATTGGCTTCAATCAGGGGTGTTGACAGTACTGCACCCACCAAGGCGGGCAACGCGACGTCACCGACTTCAAACCATCTCTACCGTGGTTTAATCAGGTTTGCGGCACTCTTCTTGAAAACATGAACACTATCACTCAGTGTATGATGACCTTACATAGCGTATGTCACCACTCGCACAGGGTATTCTAGTTTAACGAGGTCATCCTATGAAAGCTTACGTTCTGTTCCCATTTCGACGCGGTGCAATCAATCCATTCAACACGCGGAAGTGTCGCCAGGTTCGATACGATCTTGTGAAACCGTGTGTTGAGGGAAAAGGAAAAGGTGTGTGGACAAGCACCACACGAGGGAATGTTGCTGCATCTTGTGTCGTGTTCCGCTGGACCTCCCTCCGAACAACTGTTGCCTTTGACAACGGCGGGCTGTCACGTAGTGGACTGGGTGGTTTAGGAAATTATTTTCAGCTTTGTATAATTCAGAGCCATTAAACTCATAAATATCGAAAGTCCCCAAAATAAATTTTAATTCTGGCCAAGTGTCCCCAAATTAAATTTCAGAGGATATTAAACAGTGGCCAAACTAATATTTATCGAAAGCCCCCAAATTTCTCCTTGCATGCGATTGTAGAAAAGATCCTTCAAATGATTCTCTCTGTTTTCAGGGCGCGTTCTTAGCCGTCGCGATACAATGGAAATAGACGCTCATGAGGCAAAATCGACTACTCGTGTCAGACCTCTTTGGAGAGGGTACCCGAAGCTTGACACTGGTCAAGAACGCGCCCTCACTCTGCTCCTATGGCCCTCATTAATGTCAGGCTGCGTGTGTATGCTTCTTTTTCATTTTCAGAAACCCTGCCGTTTAACAATTTCCCGTACGCAACCCAGCGGGTGGAGACCGTCGGTGGAAGAAACGAGTTCTGAAGTTAAGAGGTGGAAACGGAGATTGATTAACCGAATCCTACTGTCGAGGACGGGATGGAGTGTCTGAAAGAAATTACGGTCACAATTATGCCATAAGTAATCCACCCTCAACTTTCGGATAATCTGTATGGCCTCCAGAATGGTCCTCATTCCAGCCATTTGTGCCGCCCCGTGTACGCTGGCAGGTGTGCTGGTGCGAGGAACAACCCTGATGCCACCGAATTTGGTTGCACAACCCCAGTAAATTCGTGGGCATTCGCTTGGCTCCGTCGCAAGCGTCAGTATCGGGTCTGGTGTCGGGACTTGGGAGTCGGGACTCGGGACTGGTTGGAAGTCGGGTCGGGATTCTCTAGGTGGGCTGGGCAGGGCAGAAACTCGATCTTCTTCGCCTCATTGACTGGTGGTGGTGGGTGAATCTTGAGCGGTGTTGTTCGGTTGATGCGTCGTCTCTCCCAACTCAACCTCGGTGTTGGATTTTCGTTCGGTGATTGCTCTTGCCTTCGTTGTGTTCCTGGTTCTTCTGCTAGGGTTTGGTTGGTATGGTAGCCATGGTGGTTGTGTCACGAATCCAAGACCCATTCTTGCTCCGCTTAGTTCGCTGAGTGGAGGTCTTTCACTCATCGTAATCTAGGGGTTCTAAAGATTTGTTATACTATTTGACTAATTTATAGTCATTATTTATCTACATTGCTTGGCGAGGCCCAATGGCTCCAGACATTCGCGCAGTTGCGGGATGGGGTCAGCGCCTAGCTCTGGCACTCAAGCGCTCCTCGCAACGCCTCCCGCGCTTCCGCCGAGACGCCGCGCAGAACAGTGAAGAGTCTGCCGACGCAGGCACCAAACCGCCAAGCCCCAGTCCACCCGCACAGGCGGCATCTGCGCCATCCGGATCCGGCGGAAAAGTTCCGCGAGGCGCGGGGAAGGCGGGACCAGGGAAGGGGAAGGGTATCGGGAAGGTGCAACCATGGGTGGTGCTGCAGCGGCAGTGGCTCACGATCTTCCTCGTCGCGTGGCTGTTGGGTGGCTTAGCGCTTGCCACGTGGACGGTGTTGTATTCACACAGCGCGCTGCAGGACGAGAGATACTCGAGCCTGCTGACGTGGTGCGGTGAACGCGCGCGATCGCTCGTGCATCAATTTCGGTCGTCGAGCGACCATGCGATGGTGAGTTGCGATCGTCCGACATTCTACTTATCGTCTCTGTGACAATGCTGCATCTCCTTTCCGTACGATTCGCTCTTATATCTGTTTTCCTTCTCTGGTATCTTTCCGCCGAGCCTTTTCTTCCCAACGGGTAGAATGGATAAGCGGATGACGATAAGAAGATCACCGTGCGGTGCAGAGCGGTTCCGCTTTTCAGTCCAAAATAAGCGTGTGGTTGATGGCGTGGATCGCGACAGGGTGGGGAGGTTGCGCGACGGACTGCGATGGCAGTTTGTGCGACGTAATGCGATGGGTATTTGTGCCAGGGACTGCGATGAGTATTTGTGCGACAGACGGCGACGGAATATGCGACTGGATCAAGCAATGCGCGACAATACGACGCCATGTGAGATTTACTGATGTTGGTCACCATTCTCGCCGTCGTCGTCGCCGTCGCCGTCGCCATCGTCGCCGGCGTCGTCGTCGCTGCCGTCATCGCCCGCCGTCATCGTCGTCGCGCCTACACTCGGGTGCATACAATGTGGCTACGAATGTGTGGCTTTACGACTACTATCCCCGCTTATTGTGGCGCATGGATGCTCACCCGCGACAACGTCGTACGGCATTGTTACAATGTCGCACGGCCTTGATACATCGTCACACAGCTTCGCTAGAACGTCGCAAGGTTTCGCGAAAATGTCGTGCAACTTGCAGCTGCCACTCTCAGAGAGTTTAAGGCCGTTTGCAAGGTTGGTCTCGCGATCTTTCCGATCCCGCCTCCCTCCTCTCTAGACCGTTGCACGGCTTGTCGACGTCCCTCAAGCGCGAGTCTCGCTACTTGGGACTTGCTGCTACATTCCCTCTGGTCCAGATTCGTTGCTAGCAAACCCAAGTTGTCGTCCATCTCACTGACCGCCGTCTCTATTTGTCACAAGGCCGACGTACGCTTTCTACGGGTAACGCAGCCTGCGAATGTCGCAAATAATCGCGGATTGTCTCAAGATATTTCGTCGAACTTCGAAACCATCTACGAAGCTCTCTCGCCTCCTCCCAGTCGTTCCCGGCCTCGTGAACGCGTCTGATGCGTCCGGAAAAGCTGCGCATGGTATCACGCGCTGCTCTCCTCGCGATGCCGTCTGACTCCCCTTCCCTCGCGTCGCAGGCGTATTTTGAGAGCTTTCTTACTCCTTTGCGACACCATAGAGCGCAACGTCTCCCTTCCTCCTAACCGCTTCCCCCTCCCCACCCACAGGTGTTTTCACGCTTTGTCGATGTGTTCGGCGAGACGCCGGACGGCAACGCGCGGGGGTATGGCAGCTGCATCACGCGATGATCGTGCCTAGTCTCATGACTAGTGTCGTATGTCCCTCCTCGCCTTCTCGCTCCCTCGCAGGTCTTTACCGGGCTGGTCGACGTGTTCGGCGAGACGCGGACGGCAACGCGTGGGGGTACGGCAGCTGCATCACGCGGGAGAGCTTCCAGGCGTACGTGAACGAGACGAGCTACGCGCGCCCCTGGGTCTCCGCCATCAGCTGGATCGTCTTCGTCACGCACGCCCAGCGGTGAGCCCTCGCACGCCAAGAGAGTCGCACAGTCAGAAGGTCGCACAGCCAGAGGGTCGCACAGCCTCTCCGCCATCAGCTGGATCGTCTTCGTCACGCACGCCCAGCGGTGAGCCAGAGCACGCACGCCCAGCGGTGAGCCGGCCCAGCGGTGAGCAGTGGAGTGCGGGGTAGAGGCGAGGGTCGCACGCCCAGCGGTGAGCCCACGCACGCCCAGCGGTGAGCCCACGCACGCCCAGCGGTGAGCCCTCGCACGGGCAGTCCTCCCCCACCTCGCATAGTGACTTTTTTTAGTCGACTTGAAGTCACCTCCTCTGTCCTCTCCTTCCCTGCCTGCCCATCCCACCACTCCCACTCCCCAGAGCCGAATTCGAGTCTGAAGTTCGGCGTGACACTCAAGAGCCAGAGCACGTTCCCATCCCACCACCCTCAACCCCACCCCACCGCCCCCCAGAGCCGATTTTGAGTCTAAGTTCGGCGTGACGATCAAAAGTGAGAGCACAAAGCAGCCGTCGCCCCCGCGCGACTGGTACGCTGTGTTTCTGTACATCTCCCGCGGGCCGCTCACCAACAACAGCGATTGCTGCTACGATGGGCGGCAGTACAGCCGGTTCAAGGAGGCCATAGAGCACGGCATCAAGACGCTCAACACCACCATCACGCCCACCTTCGCCCTCGCTGCCAACGGCAACCGCGGCCTCGGTGCGTCACTCCCTCCACCCTCACTCCCTCCACTTCCCACCACTTCCCACTGCTTCCCACCACCCCCAGAGCCGAATTTGAGTCCAAGTTCGGCGTGACGATCAAAAGTGAGAGCACGAAGCAGCCGTCGCCCCCGCGCGACTGGTATGCTGTGTTCCTGTACATCTCGGAGGGGTCGCGCACAAACAACAGCGACTGCTGCTATGACGGGCGGCAGTACAATCGGTACAAGGAGGCCATAGAGCACGGTATCAAGACACACAACATCACCATCACTCCAACCTTCTCCCTACTCGCCAACGGCAACCGCGGCCTCGGTACATCCATGGGTTTTTTTTTTTTTTTTTTTTTTTTTTTTAGCTGCCCGACTGTTTTGCTTTCACTGTCCGTTCCTGCCATCCCACGCCATACCATGCCATGCCTGCCCCACGTGCACCACTGGGCTTCCCTATAGGCTACTGGTGAAGAACCCATTTGGGCTATTATGCTTTCATGCTGCCATGCTGTCTCACTGTGATGCTTCCACTGTCTTTCCCCCGCCATCCCACGCCATCCCATGACATGCCATGACATGCCATGACATGCCATGACATGTCATGTGCTGTGCAGGCCTGGGATTCCCAGTGCTGAAGAACACGACAGACGGTGGGCAGGAGATGAAGGGCATGATCGGCGCGGTGATTGACATGCAGGCGCTCATCGACTTCCTTCTCAAGAAGCTGCTCTCTGCCTGTGAGTCTAAGCTCATAATCTCAGCAAGTTGTTCTCACTCCTGTGAGTCGCTCCCACTGCACCCACGGGTGCACTGCACCCATCCCAATGTACAGCAGCGAGCGCACGGACGGCTACACCACGCTGCCCGACCAGATGATTTTTTAAGCGCCCCTAAATTCCTCCCCACTTGTCCCTCTTCTCCTTTTCCCTCTTCTCCTTTTCCCGTTCCTCCCTCCTTCTCCCCTTCCACTGCAGCCGCGCCCTTCAAGCTGCAGCTGTACGATGTAACGAACCGCACTGCACCCATCCCGATGTACGACAGCGAGCGCACCGACGGCTACACTACGCTGCCCGACCAAACGGTGGCGCCCGCCTCGGACGAGCTGCTGCAGCCAACCAGGTTCCGCCACGTGGAGCCCATTGATCTCCGGGACCCGTCTCGTCAATACGAGCTCTGGTGCCGGTGAGTGTTGGGAAAGGGGAGAGGGGGAAGGGAGGGCAGTACGAGCTCTGAATAGATCACTGCAATGCAATGGTGGCAAGTCACTAGCGCTTTGTAACTTGTAATCTGCACACCCTGCTATCAATGAGTGTGGTGTGGAGGGGGCTTGGGGAGAAAGGAAAAGTCGAGCTCGGACACTCGAGCCCATGGTAAACACAACAACTCACCAGTCACGCTCTTCTCTTGCTTCCTCATACCTTTCTTTCTCCCTCCCCACCTCCCCAACCCCTTCCCCCCCCCCACCAGGTACACGGAGAGTGACACGGTGGCGTGGGGATGGAGCTCGCTGTCGTGGGGAGTGCTGCTGCTTGTCGTATTCATCCTCGTCTTCTACATCCTCCTCACCATGGGAAGGCAGAACGCCGCCATGCGCCGCAACTACCGCCGCATGGAGGCCCTTAAAGCCCGTGCAGAGGCGGCTGACAGGGCCAAGAGCAACTTTTTGGCGACGGTCTCACACGAGATCCGCACCCCCATGAATGGCGTTCTGGGTGAGTACGGGCCGTGCTTGTCCTGTCCTTGTAGTTGCAGAATGAGAATGCGCAAAGTAAGGTGCCTCATGAGCCGTGAGGAGGATGATGCCATGAACGTCAGTAGATGTTGCACAGGAGATGTTGAACGCCAGGTGCACCTGGCAACGACCTTGCACAAGAAACACACCACCACACCCTCATGCATGGCGCGTGCTGATGTGCTGGCATGGTGGGTGAGTAAGCTGCTCTTGTTCTCTGCTTGCAGCCCTCGGCCGCCCGCTCCCCCCCTCCCCTCGCCTCTCCCACAGGCATGCTCGACTTTCTTCTCGGTTCGACTCACAAGTCGCCTTGTCCCCTTTGTCCCACCCTCTCCTCCCCCCAGGCATGCTGGATTTCCTGCTGGATTCGACACCCTCTCCCCCCTGGCCCTCCCCGTCCCCTCCGTGTGGGCATGAGGGCATGCTCACAAGTCACCTTGCCACCTTGTACCTCATGCCACCTCCCTCCTCCCCCTCCCCCTCTCCCTCCCCCTCCCCCCAGGCATGCTGGATTTCCTGCTGGATTCGAAGCTGGACGCGCAGCAGCAGGAGCACGCGCGCATGGCCAAGGCGTGTGGGCAGACGCTGGTGTCGCTGCTCAACGACGTGCTCGACCTCGCCAAGGTCGAAGCCGACCGCCTCGAGCTCGAGCACCTCCCCTTCAACCTGCGCTCTTCTGTCGACGACATTCTCGACATCTTCCGCACCAAGTCTCAGGACCTGGGGCTAGAATGTAAGTGTGACGTGTGCCTGGGCTCAAACGTGGGTTTGCACTCATAGGGATTCTATGTGACCGCCTCGAGCTCGAACACCTCCCCTTCAACCTGCGCTCCTCTGTCGACGACATTCTTGACATCTTCCGCCCCAAGTCGCAGGACCTTGGGCTCGAGCGTGAGTGTGCTGTGTGCTTGCTTGGGGGTAGAGTGTGAGTGCTCGCACATGGGGTTTTCTGTGAGCACGAGCTTGAGCTCGAGCACCTCCCCTTCAACCTGCGCTCCTCTGTCGACGACATTCTTGACATCTTCCGCACCAAGTCCCAGGACCTGGGGCTCGAGCGTGAGTGCGGGGCGTGGGGGGCCTAGAGCGTGAGCTCTGGGGCTAGAGCGTGAGTGCCGTGTGTTGTCGAGCATTGTGAAATACACAAACCTCACAATCTGGGACTTGATCGTGAGTGCTGTATGCTTGGGGTTTTGTTGTTGAGAGATGTCAAAACATCAAGTCCCACAACCTGGGGCTACAACGTGAGTGCGCTGTGCTTGGTTGGTTTGGGTTGGTTTGGGGCTAGACTGTTACACTGAGTGACGACTTTGCATCCGCCTGCACCACCAACTCACCACCCCTTCTTCCTCTCCTTCTCCCTTCTTTTCTCCTCTTCCAATCCCCCCTCCCACCAGTGGCGGCACTGGTGGACCCCAACGTGCCCGAGGTGGTGGTGGGGGATCGCATTCGGCTGCGCCAGGTGGTGGTGAACCTCATCGGCAACAGCATCAAGTTCACCCAGCGCGGCCACATCTTCGTCCACATCTCCGCGCCCTTTGCCGCCATGCCCGTCCCCTCCTCCCTCCCCTCGCCCCTCACCCTCCGCTCGCGCTTCAACACTCTCGCCGCCTCCGCCCCGCCCGCCTCCCTCGCGCTGGCCAATCGCAAGCTGACAGCTGGCGACGGCTGGGGGTTGCACTCCGCGGAGGTCCAGCTGGCGTGCTCGCCGCTGCGTCAGACGGGGCCGATCTCGGCATCGCTCGCCGCGATTGGCCGGAGCATCTCGCGCGGTTACCAGACGCTGTCCGGCCGTCCGACCTCACTGGTGTGCGGGCCGGGGGGGGCGGCGGGGGCGGGTATGGGGCAGCCTAGCTGCGGAACAGGCGACCTGGTGGGATGCTTCCCTGCGCTGCTTCAGCCGGGGTATTCTCAAATGGAGGATGGGGTGTCTGTGGGGATTCAGGACGGGGGGATGGAGGAGATGGAGGGGGGGAAGGGCGGGGAGGGGGAGATACTGGTGGGCGAGGGGGAGGGGGAGGGCGCGGAGGGGGAGAAGGAGAGGGAGAAGAGGGAGGATACGATCACGCTGCTCATCACGTGCGAGGATACTGGGGCGGGTATTCCGCTGTCGTCTCAGTCCAAGATCTTCCAGCCCTTCACGCAGGTCCGTACAAGTCACTGTTGAGAGTTCTCAGAATTCACACAGGGCCGTGAAAGGTGCTGTGAAAGGTGCTGTGAATGTACAGATGCATGGCCTCGCTAGGCACGGGCATTGGGCTGACCACGGCGCGCACGCACGGAGGCACGTGCATCGGGCTGACCATCTCAAAGCGCCTGGTGAAGCTGATGGGGGGCGACATGACGTTAGTCAGCGAGCCCACTTCCTTAACCCTTCTCCCTCCCCCTTGCCCCATTTTCTCCCCTTCTCCCTCCCCCTTCCCCCCAGGCGGAGAGCAGCACGGCGCGCACGCACGGAGGCACGGGCATCGGGCTGACCATTTCAAAGCGCCTGGTGAAGCTGATGGGGGGCGATATGACCTTCGTGAGCGAGCCAGGCGTGGGCACCACCTTCGTCCTCACTGTCAACCTCGGCCTCATGCCGCCCCGCATCCCCCGCTCCGTCCCCACCTCGCTCCCGCCGGACCTCCTCCCGATGCTGGACGACGACCCCGATGCTGCCGCCATGATTGAGAAATTCCTCAACCGAGCCGTGCTGGTGGTCGACGGGCTGCAGGTTCGGCAGCGGGTAGCGAGCAGCGTCTTATCCCGCCTCGGGATTACCCCGATTCCGGCCACTGACGCGGCCTCGGTGCCTGCGATTGCCACACGGGGGTTCCTGCGCGGCCCGCCGCTGCCTGGGTCGGCGACGTTTGAGGATGATATCCGCCCGTGGGATGCCATCTTTGTGGATAAGGACGCGTTTGGGCCCAAGACTGGGTTTCAGGTTGCAAAGGCGATCCGAGAGGCGTTTGCTGCGGCGGAGAAGGGGGCAGGGGAGAGGGGCTTGGGGGAGGTGATTCAGGAGGAGGGTGGGGAGACAGGAGCAGGTGCTGCTGCCAATGGTACCAGTGGTGGTGGTGCTGGTGCGGGGGGCAGCAAGGGGCGCAAGCAGCCGCCGCTGATTCTGGTGGCGTGTCGGTTGGAGGCGGATGAGAAGGGCGAGGTGGAGGCATGCGGCTTTGAGGAGCGCTTGCTCAAGCCCCTCCGCAAGTCCATCGTTGCTGCGTGCCTGGTGCAGGTGAGATCTGGGGGGGGTGTTACCTGATGGCAGGTGAGACCTGTACTGCTCAAGCCCCTGTGCAAGTCCATCGTTGCCAGATCTGTGAGAGCAGAGAACGTCCTCGCACCAAACCGTGCTCTCTGTTAGGTAACAGAAATAACTGCTGGTAACATGGTAACATCCGTTGGGAGGCTGGTGTCAGGAAGCTGTTTCCTGATTGATTGCCGCTGCTCCTTACCTTGTCGGTCTCACATCGCTCTTCAATCCCATCTTTTCTACCCCTCCCCCTCCACCCCGCTACCCCCTCCAGGTGTTGGGCATAATGACCACGAGTCGCAGCAGCAACACGCAGAAGCAGCAGCGCCGCAAGGCCATGCACGCGCTCATTGGCGGTCGCCGCATTCTCGTGAGACGTTACGGGGGTTAGAGGGGTTGGGGCGGGGCTTGGGATTGGTATTGGGTTGCCTGCCTGCCTGCCACCATCCATGAGGTGAGGTAACTCACCGCAAGCCCATGCACGCCCTCATTGGCAGCCGGCGCATTCCCGTGAATGACGCCCGCTGTAAGCCACAACCCGACCATAGCACCCTGTACAGCCTCTTGTCACCTTCCCCTGCGACCCTCACACTGCGTGCTGTAGCGCTATGGGGTGCTGTGCGAGGCGGTGGACAGTGGCATGGCAGCGCTGCAGGCCGTGCAGGACGCTGAGGAACCCCTCTCCACCCTTTGTCACACCTCTTCCTTCTCTCCCATCCCAGGTGGTGGACGACAATGTGGTGAACCAGAAGGTGGCAACGCGCATGCTGCAGCGCTACGGAGTGCTGTGTGAGGCGGTGGACAGCGGCATGGCGGCGCTTCAGGCCGTGCAAGATGTTGATGCACCCCCCCCCCAACCCCTCTCCACACCTCCCAATCCCTCTCTCCTATCCCAGGTGGTGGACGACAATGTGGTGAACCAGAAGGTGGCAACGCGCATGCTGCAGCGCTATGGGGTGCTGTGTGAGGCGGTGGACAGTGGCATGGCGGCGCTGCAGGCCGTGCAGGATGCGGAGGGGAGAGGGCAGCCGTTTGATGCCATTTTCATGGACGTGCAGATGCCCGGCATGGACGGGTGAGTGCAGTGCGGTTGAGTGCGGTGCTATTGACTGCAGTGCGGTTGAGTGCGGTGCAAATGGGTGAGTGGGGATGCGGTGGTGAATGGGTGGACAGTGGGATGGTGGCGCTGCAGGCCGTGCAGGACGCGGAGGGGAGAGGGCAGCCGTTTGATGCCATCTTCATGGACGTGCAGATGCCCGGCATGGACGGGTGAGTGTGTATGTGTGACTCAGGATGAGTGCGGTACAGATGGGGTTCAGTGCGGTGTGAGTTGGTGTGTGTGCATGCATGGATGAGTACCCGTTGTGCAAGCTTCTCATTCGCTTCGCATCATCTCCATCCCCCCTCTCCATCTCCACCTCCTCCCCCCGTGTCACCTGCAGCTACGAGACGACGCAGTCGACCCGGTGGAGGGAGAGAGAGAGAGCGGGGCACCAGCCAAGCATGTCAGCACTTCCCATTCGCCTTCACATCCCCTTCTCCCCACTCCATCTCCATCTCCCCCCCCCCCCCGATCCACCTACAGCTACGAGATGGTGTGGTCGATCCGGCGGAGGGAGAGGGAGAGCGGGGCGGCAGCACTCGTGTCAACGCTTCTAATTTGCCTTACACCCACTTCCCTCTCCACCCTTTTCCCCTCTTCCCCATGACCCACAGCTACGAGACGACGCGGTCGATCCGGCGGAGGGAGAGGGAGAGCGGGGCGGCAGCGATCCCCATCCTGGCCATGACAGCTGACGTCATCAGTGGCAGCCGCACGCGCTGTGAGGAGGCGGGCATGGATGGGTTCGTGCCGAAACCCATAGACGAGGAGCAGCTGCACGCCACTCTCTGGAACTGCTTTGGCCGGGCTTAGGGGCAGGTGCTTGGGTGGGATTAGCTGGGCGTTATGGGCTTGGTGCGAGGAGGGGGCATGGATGGGTTCGTGCCCAAGCCGATTGATGAGGAGCAGCTGCACGCCACTCTCTGGAACTGCTTTGGCCGGGCTTAGGGGGAGGAGGGTTTTGGCAGGGGTTAAGAGGACAGTGTGGACTGCACGGGTGTGTTGACTGCATGGGCTTGGACACTTGGTGTGAGGAGACGAGCATGGATGGGTTTGTGCCCTGGCCGAACTTAAATGGAGCTGCTTTGGGCCGAATTGGGCGTTTGCGTGGTGGAAGTGAGGAGAGGAGGCGGGCATGGATGCGTTTGTTGTGCCCAGTCGATACATACAAGAGGAGCAGCTGCACGCCACTCTGGAACTGATTTGGGCGGGCTTATCTGGAGGGTTTCGGTCGGGGACGGGAGTAATGACTGCATGGGCTCGGAGAAAACAGACGGCCTTGACTGCTTGGGGGTGGGTTCACGCTGAAACTGACAGACACGAAGCAGCTGTGTGCCTTTTTTTAGGCGCCTCAAAAGTTGACCTTGGGTGGGGTTCATGCTGAAACTGATAGACCAGAAGTAGCTGCGCTGCACGCCACGCTTCGCCAGACTCACTGTAACTGCTTTGAGCAGGATCAGGGGAAGGTGCTGGAAGGTGCTTTGGGTGGGCTCAGAGGAAGGTGTGCTTTTGACAAGGGTGATAATGGCAGGTATGGGCTTGGGAGTTACTTAATGCATCTCTGCAGGTCGGTCCAAGGCGCCATGCGCTTGCTCGCACCTGTTGTGAGGCGTCTCAAACATGTTGGGTACTTGGAACGACGGCGTGACATGAGATGAGAGGACCTTGTGTCTTGACAGAATGGGCTTGTGGGTATGAGTTAATGATATTTACGGGGTAGGGTCTCTTATCAGGGTGACAGTCTTCCAATAAGTAACTGCAGATCTTCTGGTGGGGGTGGGTTGGGTGAGTGTGCCTTTCTGAGCGGGGAACATGATATCATGTTCGAGGCTAATTTATTTGTATGATTAAAGAGCTTTTCAAGCTGTGGTCACAGATACACATGCACACATGCAAGCATACACACACTCTCCGACGCACACATACACCCTCCCGCCCTGCTGAGGAGCAAAGGTCTCAGCAGCCAGAATGTTCTCGCCCTTCCTTTGCTGCCCAGCCGCGCCCGCACCTGCCTCGCTTGGGACCATCGCCCTCGCTCCCTTCATTACGTCCCACCGCACTCCACTCACCACTGCCGCCAGCAGCCCCCCACTGCCATCGCTGCTGGCAGCAGCACGCAGATTCCACTCGCCATGAGGGCTTGGATTGGAAGGGAGCTTGGAAGATGCCTGACAGAATTGGAAGGCGGCTGGTGATGGCCGTGCGGTGAAGAGACTGACGACTTGTTGCCCTAATCAAATCTGGATAAAGAATTACCCTACACCTGGCAAGGTGGTTGAGCTGGAACAGGAGTGTGAAAATGACGCTGGTTACAACACGATTCAGTTGGATATTAGCAGGTTACACAGGCCGCTTGGAGACAGCGCACTTCACTTAACATCCAACACATTTGAAACTTTCTGATCGGAACAATGAATGCCAGGTACGTATGGCTAGAATGCCAACAAACGTATAACGTGCACACTTAAGATTCTTACTAGCCTTGAATGTGTCACTCTGAATGCACAGCTTCTGGTGAAGTGTCCCGCACAGTCTCCTGCCAACATCCACCCATAATTGCTTGACAAAAGCAGTACCAAACCCGGCTGCTATGGGATTGTTTGTAATATGCTAACACCGGTATCCCAAAAATGATACATATTACATGCTCTTTCACATTATTTTTCACCTTTTGTTCGCCGCCTTGCTTTTTGCCGACACTCGAAGCACCGGGATTTATTGTCCCCTTGATGTTGTTGCACCTGCAGGGCTTGCACCTGCTTAGTGAGACGACGAATGTCAGCCTGCTGCTCCAGAATCTGTAATTGAGGAGCGAAAAAAGGGTTTGACAAACGGCATGACATGGAGTACGTTAAATGACATGACAAGCAGCACGATAGATGACAAAAGAAACGGCATGAGAGGGAGCACGGCAAAATTAATCACATCTGCAACTGAGAGTCACTCCTCATTCGCAAAACCAGGTGAGCATTTGAGCTGTGCTACCCACATGCTCATGGGACACGTACGTTGCTCATGGGACACGTACGTTGCTCATGGGACACGTACGTTGCTCATGGGACACGTTGCACTTCATGTGACACCCTAAGTTGCTGCCACGTATCGACCCTATGGCACCTAGCAGGTGAGCATTTGAGCTGTGCTACCTGCATGCTCATAGGACGCGTTGCGTTTCATGTGATCTTACAGACAGCATGACGAGCTTTTGCGCTTCGGTGATTCAGAACACACATACCTACAGAACACCTGGTGCATTTCATGTGAGCTTGCAGATAGCATGATGAGGTTCTGTGCCTTGGTATTCAGAAAACACTTGTTTTTGTGGTACCTGGTGTATTGCATGTGAGCTTACAGAAAGCATGTGGATCTGTGCCTTGGGGATTCAGTAATATAAGGTGCGTTTTATGTGAGCTTACAGATAACATTATGAGGTTCTGCGCCTTGGTTTGATCCACCTGCAAGGGATAACACCGGAGGGCGGTGAGAGTAGATGAGTCATGTGGGGGAGGCAGGCGATGACTGAAATTTCAGGTTCAGAATACCAGAAGTGCTACCCGACATGTGGAAATCAGATGGAAACAATACAGCGTTGAGAATTGGAGAATAAGTTGATTAAGAAGTCACCTTGTTACAGTGTCATACGGAGATGTAGATGCAGACAATAATCACATTGACATAGTCATGGGAGGTTGATGGGAAATTGCGCGGACTCACATCCGGCAAATAAGCACCACCGGGACCAGAATTGTCGGTGCTGCCAAAGCGATTTGCAGCAGCAGAGAGGGAACCAGAGTTGGTCCTCAAGGCACCAACGTCTGTGCCTGAGGCACCAGAGTAGCTTTCTGATGCAAGTCGTTCTGACCCTGCCACAGCAAGACCTTCCCCGTGCCCCTTGTTTCGCTTCTCTGCTGAGTTGCTAAGTGGTGGCATGGAGTTGCTAAGTGCTGGCATGGAGTTGCTAAGTGCTGGCATGGCATTGCTAAGTGCTGGCATGGAGTTGCTAAGTGCTGGCATGGAGTTGCTAAGTGCTGGCATGACGTTGCTAAGTGCTGGTATGGAGTTGCCAAGTGCTGGCATGGAGTTGCTAAGAGCTGCGGAGGCATGAGAGCGATGCTCTAAAGGGATGTGTGAGATGAGGCGAGATGCCAGGGCCTGGAGGGAGGACGGGAAGGGCAGGCGGAGAGAGAGAGCGAGAGCACGCTTGGTGTTAGGACATCAATTAAGATAATAGGGTGAACAAAGAAAAAATAAGACCCATCTCTTTCTATCTATCGTCGACTTACCACCTATAGCCAAAGATCTTGGGATAATTCTGACTAACAAGATTTTGCAACAGAGTGCAATACCATGTGTTTGCGATTTCATACCTGTAAACTGTTTATCATTTAAACTAGTACGCTCACAAGGGAGGAAGTCAGGAGCCAAAAAAACAACAGAAGAAGAAAAAAAGGAGGTCAAAAGAGATGCAAATTCTACCGAGAAGGTTGAAGAGGGGGAGGGGGATGGGTAGGGATAGGAGTCTGTTGCCATCGTTTTGCTTTACAACATCGCGGTTCATAGGCGTGTGCTTCAAGAGCTGGAGACACACACATTTTCACCGTGATATGAGAGAAAAAAAAAAGCCATGTTGTGCGGTTCAATCACAACACAAAGAGGGTAAAAATGACCAGATTTCTGCAATTGTCAAATGCAGGTAGGGCGGCGGAACAAGCTATGTTATCCTGAGATGGCCGAGGCCGTAAGTCCTCTTTTCATCATGCCCAGTCAGGCTCAGAAAGCAGCTCAGTGTGCAAGAGTGTAGCTGTTAATAGATACAAGGAAGTTGGATGGAAGAAGTTGTTGAGGTGAACTTCTTCAACCCGGCCTTGTTATAACTATCAACAGTAATATTCTTGCACACCTGAGCTGGTTTTGAAGCCTGACTAGGCGTGATTAAAAAAAAGACTTTCAACCTCGTCCACAAGGTAACAGAAGCCAGTTCTGCTACCATACTAGCCTTTGACAATTCTGGACATTTGCACACCGCTACCCTCTTTGTATTGTACCTAAACTTCACAACATTTATGTTTCCTTGTTCGCTTCTCACCCAAAAAATGCTTGTGTCGAAATCTGGCTCCTGGCGCACACGCCTTTGAACAGCGATGTTGCGAGGAAAAACGAAGGGCAACAAACACCTAGTAGTACTTCTAACGAGAAATAAAACGTGGTGTTAGAAGAGTGGTTTCAGTAAAGCTGAGGCACCCCAAAAGTTACATGAACCAGCAAATCTCTAACAATGCTAAGTCACATTAAGCATGTTCATTGTTTTTTTTTTTTTTACGAGATCTGTCTTCTTCTTGTTCTACAAAATGATCGAATGGAGAAACCATACCACACCATACCACACCATACCACACCATGCCACAACATGCCACATCATGCAACACCATATAAACCACAAGCCGCACCATGCCACACCATGAAACACGTGCCAAAAAATGTCACATCATGCCACTGCCGAGCCGTACCTGTGCGGAGTGTGGCTTTAACTTATGGCTTGAGAACATCGTCTGCCTAAGCCCTGGAATGGAACGAGTGCAGCTTGTGTTACCTGAGCAGACAGCAGCACTGACGCTAGAAACTGTAGCTTGTGGGCAACACACCAACACCAAAGCCATGCCATGCCATGACATGCCATGCCATGCCATGCACAAAGTCTGTCCATGTGAAAGCACCTGCTTCTTCCTCGTACCTGAGCAGACTGAATTAGAGACGCAAGGACTTGTGGCTTGAGGGCAATGCCGGCGCCAAAGCCATGGCCGAACCCGACTCCGCAACCCACACCCGCATCCACATGCGGCACTCCCATACGGCTCAACTGCCATGAAGAGGAAGAGGAGAGATGTTAAAGGAGGGGTGGAAATTTGAGTCGACTCAAAAGTCGCACCCCACACCCGCATCCGCACGAGGCACTCCCATACGCCTCAACTGCCATAATGGGAATCAGGGGAGAGGAGAGAGGAGGGGTGGAAGAGAGTGAAAAGTGGATGAGAGGTGTAGGGAGGTTGAGAGTGAGGGGTGGGGTGGAGAAGAGTGGTTAGCTCACTCTGCGTCCCACGCCCACATTTACACGCAACAGGGGAGGGGAGTGGGCGGAGGGGAGGGGAACTCACGAGTGGGCGGAGGGGAGCAGCAGCGCCCGCAGCGAGTCGGTTAAAATCACCCGCCATTGATGCCACCGCCCCTGCTGCTGGCAACGCACCTGGTGGTGGTGAGGGTTGGGGGGGGGGGGGTGGGGGGGGGGAAGGGGGGAGAGGGTGGGGGGGTTGGAGAGAGCAGACAGGAGAGAGAGGCAGCTTCTGAGTGCGGAGAGAGTGCAATCGCTCTTGAAGGGACTCGAAAACCGCACAAGTTGATTGAAATCTCCCGCCATCGATGCCACTAGTGCTGCTGCTGGCAACGAGCCTGGTGGTGGGAGAGAGCGCAGAGACAACAGAAGGGGCAGAGCGGGCAGAGAGAAACAGGTACTCGAAAAGGAACAAGGTGCGTTTGAAGCGATTTAATGGCACTGTGAGTCGGTTGAAATCCATTTGAGTCAAAATCACCCACCCGGAGATGCCATGACTGTTGCTGCTGCTGGCAGGAAGCCTAGTTGGGAGGAGAGGAGAGAGCAGAGACCCACCCTATGCGACCTACCCCAATCCGCCCTACCCTAATCCGCCCTACCCCAATCCGCCCTACCTCAATCCGCCCTACCCCAATCCGCCCTACCCCAATCCGCCCTACCCCAATCCGCTCCTCCCTACCCCAATCCGCCCTACCCCAATCCGCTCCTCCCTACCCCAATCCGCTCCGCCCTACCCCAATCCGCCCTACCCCAATCCGCCCTACCCCAATCCGCCCTACCCCAATCCGCCCTACCCCAATCCGCCCTACCCCAATCCGCTCCTCCCTACCCCAATCCGCTCCTCCCTACCCCAATCCGCTCCGCCCTACCCCAATCCGCCCTTCCCCAATCCGGCCTATCCCAGTGCTCTTACCCAGGTTCACGGGCCGCCCAACGCCGATACCCACGCCGCATCCCACGCCGAATCCCGTGAACACCTGCCCCACGCGCAGCGCGAACGGATTCGCCCACCACGCCGTCGGCGGCTCGAGATCCGACCACGATTTCGGCGGCGTCCGCGCATCGCGCAGCATCCCCGCCGCTGCCGCGCCTCCCGCTGCGCTGCGCGGATCCTCCGCCACCTCCGCCATCTCTTTTCTTCTCCCCCTCCGAAGCGCCTCTTGAGGCGCGATAAAAGTTCTCGAATGTTACGTCATGGCTACTCAATGCCCCCCGCCTTCCGCGAAGAACGCTGATACTGCGAGAGTGCGCGGGCAGCTGCGTGCGACGAGCGTGACGACAGGCGACAACGGCGACGAGAGCGATGAGGGCGACGGGGAAGTGAGGGCAACGAGAGCGACGAGAACGATGTGGAAGAGGGCGACAAGGGCGAATCACATAGAGAAAGGTGACCGGTCCTAGGAGTGGCGGAAGGGAGTCCGCGCTATCTGCGCCGTATGGGCGCGCGTTGATCCGCAGACAGAGTTTTTTGGGGGGCGGAGAGAGCGGCTCGTCGAAAGAATGCGAAAATGTGTGCTAGCGGGCCGATGCATGGCAGGTGGCTGCTCTGCACATGTAGGGTAAAAATTCCCCTCTATAAACTTGATCACAAAAGCTATGAAGAAACGATAGTATGTGACGATTCGCTGAAGCTTGCACTGTATTGTCCATAAAAATACTGTTCAAATTGAGGAATTATTCATCGCCAGGGTTTAGGGGGTTGACTTGACGATGCTAGCAATATGCGGCCACTCCACAGGCAGCAAGCGCGATCGTTGCCAAAACTGATCATCAAAGGCTAATCGCCACTGGACTCTAGTCCGGAGGCGCTAAATCTGTTGTTTTAGAATTCTCCAAAAACGGATTAGGGCTAATTGTCAGTGGAACTAGCCCGGAGGCGCAGATAGTCAGTGGAACCGGAACTAGTCTGACAAGCACAGGCCTCTAGAAATACAGTAAGATACAACCACATCGCGCATGGGATGAGATCCTGTTAGTTCTTATGTCCGTTACAACCGCGTTGCGTAGTGCCCTTCACTTCCTCCGGGCCAATCAGCTGCTCGGACCAGTCTACGACTGGCTATGGCGCGAGGTGTTCGCTAAGTAGGTTCGCAAACAGACCTGAGCTTGGCGATTGTATTGCGCCACCGACTTAGAACGGGCCGAGTCGCAACGAACTGGGTCGCAATCTAGATGCGCGTCTTCGCCTGCCGGGCCTGCGCCATGGATCGCATTCCGCTCCCCTCGCCATTGTCACACTCGCTCGCGCCGCCTCGGGCCCGCCTCGGGCCATGGCTCCCTCCTCGCGTCCGACGGGCCGTCGCAGCGACAGTCAACGGAGTCAACGGAGTCAACAGAGACAACAGCGTTAACGGAGTCAACGGAGTCAACGGGGCCAACAGGGTCAGCCAAGTCAGCAGAAACAGCGACAGGGACTCGCTCATCCCCTCTCGTTTTTTCACGTCGCTATCCTCCCGCCCCTCCTTCTGCGCCAAAACCCGCGTTTTTCTCCGTCAATCCGCTTGCGCCTCTCCACGATCCTCCTCCTGCCTTTCCGCCTCTCCCTCCGCGGGTATATGGACCAGCGCGTCTGGCGCGTATCCCTGCGCGCACCCCCTAAGGGAGGGGGTGAGCCGCACCGGTGCGCCAAAGGGAGGCGCGGGGCGCATTGGCGCGCAGCTGGCGGGGCTGCAGTCGCGTGCTGCGCTCCCCCTGGTTGCGCGGGCGGAAGGCGGGGAAGAGGCCGGGGTTATCGTTGCGCGCGGCAGGAGATACAGCGGGACGGGGAAGGGGGGGGAGGAAGAGGGGGAAGAAGAGGAGGACGGGGAAGAGGGGGATGAAGGAGGGGAAAGGGCCGTTATGAACGCAGGTGAGGAAGACGAGTTGGATAAAGGCGGCGGTAGTAGCAGCGAGAGGGAAGAGAGCGGGGGAGGGGAGGAGAAGGGGGGGCGGAAGAAGAGGAGGAGGCGGAGGGAGGAGGAGAAGCAGCGGACGCGGGAGGGGGCGGAGGCAAGCAGCGGGGAGAGCCTGAGGAGGGGGGTGACCTATGCGGAGGCAGAGAGGTGGGTGGGCGGAGGGGCGGAGGCGGAAGGGGCAGAGGCGGGGGGAGAGGGGGAGGCGAGATTGGGCGCGTAGGGGAGAAAAGGGGGGGAGTGGCCGCATGTGCCGGTGCTGGTGAGGGAGGTGGTGGGGGCGTTTGAGGGCGTGCGGTTGACAACACTGGTGGATGGCACACTGGGGGCGGGCGGTCACACGCTCGCTGTGAGTGCTGATTCTGGCTGTAATGGGTTATTTCTGAGTCGCCTCGGAATGGAAGTGAGGTTGACAATACTGGTGGACGGCACTCTGGGCGCTGGCGGTCACACACTTGCTGTGAGTGCCGTGTGTGCCGGTAACAGGTGTGACTGTAGCAGGTGGGAGGTAGTTCATGAGATGCCTCAAAGAGGGGGTGCGGTTGACAACTCTGGTGGACGGCACTCTGGGTGCTGGCGGTCACATGCTCGCTGTGAGTGCCGTGTGTGATTGCAATGGGTGGGACTGTAACGGGTGTGACTGTAACGGGTGTGACTGTAACGGGTGTGACTGTATCGGTTAATATATATGAGACGTCTCACAAAGGGGGTGAGGTTGATGACAGTGGTGGACGGCACACTGGGAGCTGGAAGTCACACGCTTGCTGTGAGTGCTGCGTGTGCCACTGAGGGTAGGTGGGACTAGGGCAGGTGGTCATGTCCCTCCCTTTCCTACCTTCTTACCCCGTCTCACCTTTTTTCATCCTTTCTCACCCTTTTTCTCCCCCTTTCTTGACTCTCCTCACTCGTTCCCGTCGTCCTTCCCGTGTGTGCATGTGCAGTTATGCCACCACCATCCAGTGCTGCAGGCAGTGGCGGGCATGGTCGTGGACCCCTCAGCACACGCCATCACATGCCATTGCTCTTGCCTCCTCCAATCCACTCTCTTTCCTCTGCTTTCCCTCGTTTTTCCCTTCCGTATGATGAACAGCTAGCCCGCCACCACCCAGAGCTGCAAGCGGTGGTGGGCGTGGACGTGGACCCCTCAGCACACGCCATCGCTGCTGCCCGCCTGCACCCCGTCATGCGCATCGCCACCCCTCCAGGCGCACGGGCAGGCAGTCCGCACGACGCCCATGCCCATACCCAAGCAGCGGCGCCAGTTGAGGAGTGGGGCGAGGCAAAGGAGCGGGGCCAGTCTGAGGAGCAGGCCCAAGCAACAGTGCGAGTGGCAGAGGGGCCGGAAGCGACATTGCGAGTGGCGGAGGAGAGGGGGGCCACAGCGACACTGCACGTGGTGGAGGGGAATTTCCGGCGCATGGTGGAGGCATGTGCGGGTGTGGGAGTGGCGCGTGGCAGTGTGGATGGAATTCTGCTGGACGTGGGGGTCTCGTCCATGCAGGTGAGGGCTGGTTGGGTGCAGGTGGTATCTGATGCAGGTGGTATCTGATGCAGGTGGTATCTGATGCAGGTGGTATCTGATGCAGGTGGTATCTGATGCAGGTGGTATCTGATGCAGGTGGTATCTGATGCAGGTGGTATCTGATGCAGGTGGTATCTGATGCAGGTGGTATCTGATGCAGGTGGTATCTGATGCAGGTGGTATCTGATGCAGGTGGTATCTGATGCAGGTGGTATCTGATGCAGGTGGTATCTGATGCAGGTAGTATCTGATGCAGGTAGTATCTGATGCAGGTGGTATCAACTGATGCCGGTGACGGCAGTGTGGACGGCATTCTGCTGGACGTGGGGGTCTCCTCCACGCAGGTGGGAAGGTCGCTCTGGCGCAGGTGTTGTCTGAGACAGGTGGTATTTGAGGCAGGTGGCATCTGAGACAGGCGAGGGCTTCTGTCTATGAAGTGGGTTTTCCACCCTACCCACTCCCATCTGTCTTTTTCTCCCTCCCCTCTGTCCCTAAAAAATGTTCTCCCTATGCACTGCCCTCCCCCCCCCCTTCCCACAGATCGACAGGGCAGAGAGGGGATTCAGTTTCATGAGGGAGGGGCCTCTGGACATGCGCATGGATCCTAAGGTGAGTCATGGCATACATGCATATGAGTGGATTATAAGGTGAGTCATGGCATACATGCATATGAGTGGATTATAAGGTGAGTCATGGCATACATGCATATGAGTGGATTATAAGGTGAGTCATGGCATACATGCATGTGAATGGATTATAAGGTGAGTCATGGCATACATGCATATGAGTGGATTATAAGGTGAGTCATGGCATACATGCATATGAGTGGATTACAAGGTGAGTCATGGCATACATGCATATGAGTGGATTATAAGGTGAGCCATGGCATACATGCATGTGAATGGATTATAAGGTGAGTCATGGCATACATGCATATGAGTGGATTATAAGGTGAGTCATGGCATACATGCATGTGAGTGGATTATAAGGTGAGTCATGGCATACATGCATATGAGTGGATTATAAGGTGAGTCATGGCATACATGCATATGAGTGGATTATAAGGTGAGTCATGGCATACATGCATATGAGTGGACTATAAGGTGAGTCATGGCATACATGCATATGAGTGGATTATAAGGTGAGTCATGGCATACATGCATATGAGTGGATTATAAGGTGAGTCATGGCATACATGCATATGAGTGGATTATAAGGTGAGTCATGGCATACATCCATATGAGTGGATTATAAGGTGAGTCATGGCATACATGCATATGAGTGGATTATAAGGTGAGTCATGGCATACATGCATGTGAGTGGATTATAAGGTGAGCCATGGCATGCATGCATGCGGGCATGGATCTTGACGTTTGTACACATCTTGTGCATGTGCATGTGCATTAGACTATGAAATGAGGTGCTCAAAAGTCACCTTGTTACTTTGACTGTTCGTACACATCATGTGCATGTGCATGACCATGCATATGGACTATGAAATGGCTCTCTGGACATGAGCATGGACCCCCAGGTCAGCCATGCGCATGGGTGTTGAATGTTTGTACATGCGTGTCTGCATGTGCATGTGAATGTGTATTTGAATTGAATACATCCATGAGTGTAAGTGCTCCTTCCTCCCACTTCCCTGTCTTTCCATCTCAGCCCTTCTTCCCCCCTCCCCTTTCATATGCACCACCCATGCACCCCCCCACCAGAGCCCCATCACCGCTGAGTTGGCGGTCAACGATTGGCCGGAGGAGGTGCTAGGGCAGATCTTGAGAGACCTGGGGGAGGAGCGGCGGTGGCGGCAGCTTGCCCGGCGGATTGTGGAGGCGCGGGGGCGAGGGCGCATCAGCAGCACCACACAACTGGCTGCCATCGTGGCTGGAGGGGCGTTTGGGCCCAAGAAGGGCGCAGGTACGCTGGGTTGGTGGCAGGGTGGTTTGTTTGTGGAGGCGCGGGGGAGAGGGCGCATCAGCAGCGCGGCCCAGCTCGCTTTATCTGTTGCTGGAGGGTCGCTTGGGCTTGGGCCTAAGAACAGGACAGGTCTGCTTGGTGGTGCTAGGTGGGGTGGGTTGTAGATACGTGCATGTCTGTACTCATGCAGCCTCTGGGGAGCTATAGGCGTTTGCGCCAAAAAAGGAGGTAAGCTGTACTGATGATTGGAATTGATGCGTTGACGGGTGTTATTGGGGAGACGAGGGGAGGAGCGGTGGTGATTGCAGGGTTCTAAATGAACATGAATTCTTGCCCATCGTTGCACATCCCCTCCTCCATCTGTACATGCACTCTCGCCCCTTCCAGCCTCATCTTACTTTCGTAATGCCCCCCGCTGTGCATCCACCCAGCCACCCAACCCATTCAAGTTCCAACCCATCACGAAATGGTTGGAGCTTGAACCGTGGCAGGGGCAGTAGAAGGGGCAGCGCTGTTCCAGCCATAGCACTCCATCTCATCCGCCCCTTCCACTGCACCTCCACCCTCTGCACATCCCCTCCCCCCCCCCCCCCCCACCCCATCCTCATCCTCCCAGCGCAGTGGCGCTAGCACCCTCAGCCACCCAGCCACCCACACCTTACAAGAACTGCATGTCATCTCATCCACCCTCTCACTGCCCCATCTCCCTCTCCCCTGCACAGCCACCCCTGCCTGCCCTTGCACATCCCCTCCTGCCCTCCCAGCCTCGTCCCCCCGTCGTGGTGGTCCAAGCACGTGCATCCACTCACCCGCACCTTGCACGCTCTGCCTACTGTCTCATTTAACCTCCTGTAGCGCCCATCTCCCTCTTGCACATCCCCTCCCGCACCTCCTTCCCAGGCACGCGCATCCACCCGCCCACCTGCACCTTACAGGTGCTCTCCATTGTCTCATCTCACTTCCTATTGCACCCATTTCCCCCTCTGCACATCCCCTGCCCTGTACGTCCCCTCTCAGCCTCGTCCTCTCACCGTGGTGGTCTCAGCACGCGACTCCACCCGGCCACCCACAACTTGCACGCAATCCACATCATCAAATCTGACCTACCCTTGCCCCCATTTCCCCCCCTGTACGTCCCCTCTCAGCCTCTTCATCCCGCCGCGGTGGCCCCGGCATGCGAATCCACCCGGCCACCCGCACCTTCCAAGCTCTCAGCATCATGTCATCTGACCTACTCTTGCCCCCATTTCCCCCCTGTGCGTTCCCCCCTGCGCTGTCCCCTCTCAGCCTCGTCCTCCCGCCGAGCTGGTCCAGGCATGCGCATCCACCCGGCCACCCGCACATTCCAGGCTCTCCGCATCGCAGTAAATGACGAGCTTGCCGCCCTGGCGCTCGCCATCCCCGCCGCCCTCTCCCTGCTGGCGCCGGGCGGCCGGCTGGCCGTCATCTCCTTCCACTCGCTCGAGGACCGCATCGTGAAGCGAAGCTTCCTGGAAGCTGCCGCTGGCATGCCTGTGCCCATGCCAGTGCCAGTGCCCCTGCCAGTGGCCGTGCCTGTGCCTGGGTCTGCACCAGGAGCAGTGAGCAGCAGTGGCTGGGAGGGGCACGGGCAGGCAAGATACCGGGTGGTGACGAAGCGGTCGGTGGTTGCAGGGGAGGATGAGTGGAGGGTGAATGCACGCAGCAGGAGCGCCAAGCTGAGGGTCATTGAGCGAGTAGTTTGACAGGATCACCCATTGGCAGAAGGAGTGAAGTTTATTGCATGTGGCAAAAAGGCGCCTTTTATATAGTCACGGCTGTGGGTGCGAGTGATGCAGCGATGGCAGGAGCCAGGGGTCGTGGCTTGGAAGGGCATGGGCAGGCGAGGTTCGAGGTGGTGACGAAGCGGCCGGTTGTGGCAGAGGAGGATGAGTGGAGGGTGAATGCACGCAGCAGGAGTGCCAAGCTGAGGGTCATTGAGTGAGTCGCTTGACAGTGAATGGCGTCGCACTTACACTGTACTGGGGGGGGGGGTAACGTAGGTTGGGGGTTGGCCACGGCGCTTGGAATTTGCTGGCGGTTTGGTTGTGCTTGTTGGGCTGATTGTTACGAATAGTAAAATATGAAGTGTTACTGTGCACTTCTGACAGTAGCAATCGGAGCATGCAGTACCGAGGCTGAAGACGAAAAGGCGGAAGTGACGCGAAGGGTCGTACGGTTACGGAGCATCTGGACCGTCAGGGCAGACAGCATCAGGCAGCAGCAGTGGCGAGGATTTCGCCCGAGCAGTTCGTAACCGTCTGGAGTCGCATGGTTGGGTTTCGCTGCAATAAGGGAATGTACCCCTTAGAGTACATGGCTAGCTAGGTCGCTTCGTATTCCACCTTGTACTCTTATTTATATGTTTGTATTTGCATGTCTTAAACTATCTCAATCATTTTACATTCACTCTGATTTGAGGTCAAAGGCCCACCACCACTACCTAGTTGTGTGCGAACCTTCCTGAGGTGATCCTGGTTAACGATCAACTGCTGATCGCAGCATGGTATGAGAGCGACTCAGGATCCTTTGCACTGCCACCTCCGAAATCTTCGGCGATCAAAAGGTGGCGTCCGGCACACGCTCACGTGTAAGGATGGCCGGAGGATCTGGAGGTCAGACGAATCTGACCGCTGAAGCGCAGCCCAACCCGGCTGCGACAAACGAGGAAACGACGACGATTGGAACCGCCGTCCTCGCACAACTGCTTCAGCGACTCACCAGCTTGGAGCAAGGACTCCAAACATTGCGGAATGGCGATGCGGGAACATCCTCCCAACCTTCTCAACCGGCCTCTAATGGCCACAACACCGCCCCGCATACCTTCTCCCTCGAAACAAATGGCTCAACTCCCAAGACCCCCCGTCCCAGCGAAGAAGCAATTCTCTCGGCTCAATCAAGGTTCCTGAGCATATCAAAAATAAAGACAAGCGTGCGTTTTGACGGCAGAGACTTCTATACGTGGAGCTTCGAGCTGGAGCTGCTGCTGCAAAACGCACAAATATTCCACTATTTCGACGGAAGCTACACGGGACCTGGTGAAGACACCGCTGACGCCAGGGCTCAGTATTACAACGAGTCACTGATGGTGTACGGCGTCCTTTGCGGAACATGTCGCCGGCAGAGCAACTGAGCATACGATCATACAAGACAACATCTGCTCCTGCCCTCGACGCCTGGCAACATCTGAACGGAGTCTACCAACCGAAGGATTCGGTTTCATCGAGCCGCCTGCTCCAGCAGCTACTGGAGACAAAAATGGGTCCAGGGGAGAAGGCCAATAGCTACATTAATCGCTGTCGGAGCCTCCGCAATCAAATCGCGAAGTTGGGAAGCAGCATTTCCAAAGAAATCTTCGTGAACATCGTGCTTCAAGGGCTCGGCCCAGAATGGCGGCCCTGCAAGGCGCTGCTCCGACAGCAGGGGGTTATCTCGGAAGCCGCCCTATGCGCCGCCCTTCTCGTCGAACAGAGAGACATGGACCAGCAGCGACCAGCGTTGCGACGAGACCGGGAACGCCTCGCCTTCTACGCGGACAACACGGAAGAGCGACGGCCGCGGCGCCTTTACTGCAAAATCTGCAGAAACTTCGGGCACCTGGCAGATCGATGTAAATTCCGATCTCGCCCTCGCCAGACCAATCCGAGCACCTGGTCCGGCCGAAAAGACGTACGAAACGACATGCGTCAAGCCCAGGGGCACCAACCCCCATCGCGCAACCTGAACCCAGCGGTTCAGCATCAGCAGCAATAGCCGCCACAGACTGCTCCAGTCCGCAACGTCATCGGCAACATGACCATGACGAAAACAAGCGGATCACGTCATCCCCGCGTGCGCACGCCGTCACCTGAGCCAGCACGCCACCCAATCGGAGCGTTCACGGATAACAATCCGTTCACCACTCGCCACGACTTCAACGACGACGACGACCAGGATTAGAACCTTCCAATTCCGCTGCTTGAAAGTCCCCCGCACGTACCTGATACGCGGGCGGCACCGATCGATTGGATCTCGCGCGAGCAATTTTTAAAGTTCGACACGCCGCACATCGTCACGCTGCGAATGGCGCTGCTCGCACGTGACGACAAGAAGCGCTACAACACATGGTACCTGGACAGCTGTTGCGGGCAGCACATGGTCGGATCCGAGCGTTTCGTCTCCAACGCCGTCGCGACCCCCACGGTCACTTACGTCACCGTTGCGAACAATACCCGCCTGCGCGCAAACGCGCAAGGAAACGTCGTGCTCAAAGCACGGAGAAGCCCCACGCACATCACACTGAATGACGTGCTCATAGTCCAGAACCTGCGCTTCAATCTCCTCTCAGCGGCACAACTTATGGATTGCGGAGTCGAGCTCAGCACCGACCTCCGCACGCGCGACATTCTCCTGCACTACACAGCGCCGAAGAAGGCGCGCCGGCAGATCGGACGGGCACACTCCGAGAATGGAGTGTACATCCTCGATTTCGATATCCCCGACTGCAGCGGCGACTCAAAGGAGTTAATTGACATCGTTCCCCTGAGCTTCGAGCACATTCACCACTCCGACTGGAAGCACCCCGATGGGAGACCATGGGTGCCATATCATCCGCACCCTCGCGAAGTTGCGCTGCACTACCCCGGGCCTGATGGCATCTGCAGGGACTGTCAGACGCCGATTGCCTCGACGAGCGCCATCACCGGACGCGGGCTCGCGGCGATCGCCGAAGCTGAGCGATTCGCGCCGCCTGAAGAGGGAATGTCGACCATGGAGCTTGAAATCGCGACGCACAACATCTACGGCACGACGGAACATCCCCTCCTCGGACCCGCATCCCGCCATCTCCAGGGGATCTTGCGCGGCACAAACATCGGCACCTTCGACGCGGAAGGAACTCCGCGCCCCTACACGAAGGAAGCCTTCCTGAAGATCTACCCCCACTGGCGCGACCCCGACCCCAAGTAAAAGCTCACAATCGCGCAAGAAGAGGAGCTGGCACGACGCGAAGCATAGGAGCTTCGCCAGCGCAGTCTCGCCGAAGCACGTGGTACGTTCACCTTCGGCGGATGGGGCGCTGAAGAAGAAGAAAGCGCCTCCAATGAAGGGGGGTGGGGAAGCGCCGGCGGATGGGGAACGAGCGACACTGGCGGATGGGGCGCCGCAACTGGCGGCAACACCGGCAGCACCTGGGCAAGCACAAGCGACAGATTGGGCACCGCATTAGGCGGCGAAACAAGCGGTTGGGGCACTTCCGGCGGAGGCTGGGGAACTTCCCGTGAAGAACAAAGGGGGGAAGAAGAAGCAGAGGCGGAACCTCCTGTTGTTCCTCTCGGTCGTCCTCCGCGCCGACCTACACCTGCGCTACCCCCACCTGACGTCCAGCCGCACCGCGACCCTTGGGACACCATCGATTGGGGGAATGAGCCCTCAACCCCCACATCGCACAGTCTAAAGACCTGACCCCGAGCTGCGCGAACCCACCTTCTTCCCCGGAACAATTTCCGGCACCAACATCCCCCTCTCCGTGATTCTTGACAGGGAATTCTTGGCGCTGATGCTGACGACGGCGAACGAAGAAGAAGAAGCTGAAGAAGCAGCGGCGGAACCTGCCCCAGTACCTGACGAGGACCCCGCAGCAGCACACGCACGTTACATGCGCACCTCTGGATTCCGCGCCAACGATGACCTCTGTCAACGGGAGTTGTGTGTTGGCCCCGTCCTTGCTTGGGCGGAGCCGACTTCGTGGTCGAGTGTGAGGGGAGCAGCCGACATGCAGCAGTGGGCGAGCTGGTTGACGAGGAGGTCGACCTGCACGGGGGCCACTGCACAGGCGCCGACTTCAGGGTGGCGCCGACTTTAGGGAGGTCGACCTGGGAAGTCGACCTGCGGAGGACGTCAACTTGGTGACGTCAAGTTGGGGCAGCCGACTTGGGTGGTCGGCTGACAAGACTGCTGGTCGACCTGGGGGTTGGTCGACCAGGCCTGCTGGTCGACTTGGTGGTAGGTCGACCAGGAGTGATGTCGACCTGGCGGTCGACCTGACCTGGTGGTCGACGGAGGAAGGGCCGACGTCGACCACGACTCAGGACGCCGAGCAGCTGGGCGTCGAGTAGCAGGGCGTCGACTTCGTGACGCCGACTTCGGGTAGCCGACTTGGATGGTCGGCTGACAGCTGTGCTGGTCGACATGGAGCTGGTCGACCAGGAGTGCTGGTCGACGTGGAGCTGGTCGACCAGAAGGGACGTCGACCTGGAGCTGGTCGACCAGGGGTGTGGTCGACCTGGTGAGGTCGACTTGGGGTGGTCGTCGACTTGGGAGGTCGACGGGCACATACAGGAGCAGCTGGTCGACATGGTTGCCCGGTCGACCAGGTTACCTGGGTGACGAAGTCCTGCGGAGGAGTGCGACGGTCGCCCAGGCGAAGTTGGCGAGTCCGACCTCGGTGGTGGTATCCCGAGGTCGACGTGGCTGATCAGATGCAGACGTCAGCGCCAGGTTGACTTGGTGTGTGCGCTGTGCAGGTGACGAGGCTCAGCACGCCAATCATCTGCGAGCACCTGCGAAGCTGGTGCGATGCTGTACTGCGGGAGCAACGCTGGCACGCCGTCAACCTGCGACGTTGGCACGCCGTCGACCGTGCTGCGCTGGTAGTCGACCAACCTGAATGCTAGCTCTGATGTAGTCTTGCAATGCCAACTTCATTGTACCATTGTTGTCAATCTTC